CCGCCCCCGGGCGCCCCCAAGTCAGCCGCTGCTGAAACTGACCAGCGGTTGACTTGGGGAAGCCTGGGGTTAGAGCAGGATTATCAGAATCGGGGACAGCTGGGGTTCTGCCGGGTTGGTCCCGCAGCACCGAGGGGCAGTGCTATGGGACCTACCGGCAGCACTCCAGCTGCTCTGCCCCCGGCTTCCCTGATTCAGCTGCTGGTCAGTTTCAGCATCAGCTGAATCAGGGAAGCCGGGGACAGAGCAGCTCCAATGGTCCGGCTGCCTGGAGCATTTCCGGGTTCCTGATGGTGCTGGACCATCCGGAGTGCCGGACCACCAGATGTCAGATCAATGGAGTTTTACTGTATTTCACTAAGAGGATGGTGAAGCACTGGAATAGATTGCCTAGGGAGGTGGTGGAATTTACACCCTTAGAGGTTTTTGAGCCCTGTCTGGAATGATTTGGTTGGGATTGGTACTGCTTGGAGCACGAGAATGGAATAGATGACCCCCTGAGGTCTATTCCAACCCTAACCTTCTATAATTCTTTATCTATGAAGAACACTACATTATTGCATGATTATTAATCTTAAGGATTACTGTTTTTTCTTGTCTTAGTTTGCCACTGTTTATAAAGCAAGGGATAAAAACACCAATCAAATTGTTGCTATTAAAAAGGTGAGTGCTTGTGGAGTATGTGTACACAACAGCACACAAATCGGATATCTAGTTGCTCTTGAAACTGTTCAATAGCTTTATCAATTTAAAGGGAAACTGTGATTGGTTGTACCATAGGCATAATGTGTAAGGTTGACCAGCCCAAATAAGCCACCTCAGATGTTCTTTCATAATGTAAAACAGTGGCTCCAATACTATTCACTTCTGGGTTTGTGATGGTCACCCAGCTCAGAAGCTGGCATGTTAAATATTGTAGCCAATATTTTGGAAGGCTATTACTTTTACTGCATTTTTTAAAAGTATTGCAGAACATAACGTTAGTAGTGTTAAACTTGGGGTTTTCTGCACACTGAAGTGTCCCCCTTCATAATATGTGGAGTGTTTAATGTTTTAGTCCCCCATGGAGAAAGTTGTTTCCCAAAATCATTTTTGGATGTTGGTGCTGGGAAAGTTGTGCTTTTTACTGTCCTAGATTTCTATAATTTGGCCTTTGGAGTGAAATTTTCACAATGTGATTGGGTTTTTTTTCTGATTTGAAACAATACAATAAACTGTAATAGTGAATATAAATATTTTAGATATGCCTTGAGAGAGTCCTACTATGTTGGAATTAGTATAATGAAGAAAATACCTCTGTTTTGCTTAATAAGCAAAGTTCACCTATTTCAATAATGCAGCCAAGCTGCTCAATATTCATATTGTAATACTGATACTTTACTGTTTCTCCCATAAGGCTGTTACTGATTAAAATTGACATAGAGGACGAACTGGCCTTTTCTGAAGAATTGGTATAAGATCATGTGTGGTTTTGTTGGTTTAAAAATAATTTCAGCATTGAAAAATGTTTGGTATGGCATCAGTGTGGCAAAATCAGAATAGCCTGTAAACTTGTAACAGCCATGTGGATGCCAGTCTTGATAACACAATTCATACTTGGCATGATTCATCCTCTTAAGAAAAGATATAATGTGGCTTTGCAGGCCCAGAACTACGGTTGCATTTACAAAACTTGTTGGCCAGATTGCATTGTCTGGCTTTGGGAAACAAACATCTGTTGCTCTTGTAAATGCCAAAGCTACAAATTCACTTTTTAGCTATTTAAGATTTTATTATTTTTAGTAGTTAACACTTAACCTCAGCTTGCCTTTGAGAAACTTATTGAGGACGTATTCAAGTGTTGAGGAATGTGTTTCTAATTACAGATAATATAGCACTTACTATTTCTTTAGATTAAACTTGGACATAGATCAGAAGCGAAAGATGGTAAGTACTTAAAACACTTTTACACCATAACATGTTCTGGAGGGGCGGGGGGGGCTTGCCTTCAGTATGTTACTGTCAAATTCCTATTGTAGAGCAGTGAATTAGGTATTTCATCTATCCTATCTGGAAAAATTGATAGTTATATTGACTAACTTAATCCCACTTCTTTGTAGCTTTCCCATAATAACCATATCACTAGAACACATGCATTCTCTTGCTGCTGAGGGAAGAAGAAACAACAAACTTCATAGACTTTACTGTGAAAAACATGATATATAATCCAGAACGTCAAATCAATTGATTTCCATGATCTGAGATGAGAAATAGATGAAATATCAATAGTGGTAAATACATTGAATTATTAAAAACTGAAAAGTTTTAAAACCTTTGGGTGGCTAGTCACATAATTAAATTAGTTTTCAACATTGAGTTACATTGAATTTACTGCACCTTTTAACTTTTCTCCTTTGATTTCCTGCCCATGTTTCTGTTATGTTTTGTTATAGTGCTGTTGATGTGTATGGCACACTAGATCGGTAAGAATCTAGCCCTTTTGTATTTCTTTTCACACTGATGTCCCCAGCGTCTCCCCATTTAATATCATTCCAAAATTTCAGTCAGTTTAAGAAAGATGATGATTGTCTGGGAAATTAGATTTCAGGTAGATGTCAGTTTGGATCTCCTTGTAAATGTATATGTGTCTCATATGCATGATCAATTTTTTTGTGTATAGAGGTCTAACAGGGCCTGTCAGACACTCTGTCTCCTCGTGCTCTCATACAAGAGCATAAAGAGGAGGGTATCCATAACTACAACCCTTCCTGAGAACATTCTTATTGTCTGTGGCAACAAGATCAAACCCGTCAAGTTGAGAGACCCTATACAAGTTCATTAAAATATTGGGGGGAAGAAATTTATTTTCATACTTATGCAAACGATATTCCCAAAAAAGAGATGAAATCCTCCAACCTTGTGCACTTTGTGCCAACCATACATTCATGATGGAATCCAAATCCTCAGGATTTAAATTCTAGTCCTCCTGTAACAGACACAGATGATACCTCTTCTGCCTAAAGGGGAGCTGCATCCCCCAACAGGCATTTTGTATACAAGCTTTTCTGAGCTATGATCAAATCCAAGACCGCTTGGCTCAAACTGAAAATAACTGAGCAGTCCATGCAGATTACTGCAGACCAAGATATGATTGTTATAGCCAGAGTGGGGTGGATAAAGCAGCACTAGCCAGCACTCCCTTGTGCACTCCTCATGCTCTGGGATCAGGGATTGGAAAGAAGGTGGAAAGAGCAGTGTTGGTATTGATACCAACTGCCTCTTAACATTGCTGAAGTTCCCAGTATGAGACTTCAGTACTGACAAGACTCATACTGGCGATTTTGGTTCCTGCTTCAGCTACTTGACACTTCAGGCAATAAAATGGTGCCTCTTCCTACTACTAAACAGCACTCCAACTTGTATACTTGTACCGAGCATAATCATAGCCCTGAGCAGAACTGTCTTATATGTAGAATGGTTTTGGGCGGCTGCCTCAACTGTCCTATGCATGGGCCTGGTACAGGGCAACAGCCGGGGTCACCCCATCTCCACCCAGTGCAGTCATCTTGGCAGCGGGAGCCAGAGCAACTTGGCAGTCTGCTTCGCTCCTCTCCACCCCTCCACGCTATCCCAACTAACTGTGCTCCACTTTTCTGTGGCAGCAAGAAGCAGAGTACTCCAGTCCCAAGATGCTCTGCTTCCTGTCACTGTGGAGAACTAAGGCATGGCAGGCTGGGACAGTAGTGGGGTGCAGCAGAGTAGGCAGGCTGCTAGGCTGCTTTTGGCTTCTGTCACTGTGGTAAGTGCTGGGGGCAGGAGCAACTCCTGCTGCTGCCCAGCCCCCAGTAATCTCAGGTTTGAGGAAGAGTGTGGAGCAAGGGCAGGACTTGGGAGAAGAAATGAAGTGGGGGAGGAGGCAGAGGAAGAGCAGGGGTGAGGTCAGTGTGAGTGTGGGAGGGGGGTGTGCCCTAGGCCCTGCACTTCACTCAGGATGGCCCTGGCCCTGAGATTAAAGATGTCCCTCTTAGAGCACGTGAAACGTCAGTCCTCCAAGAACAGAATCCAAAAGAAGCTGGGTAGAGCAAGAGACCTTATCCTGATCCCATGATTGTTACACGTGATGGGGCTGAGCAGGGACTTAATGATTTCTGTAGAGGCACCCCATACCATATGCATACATTGCTGGTATGAAATAGGTGCATTGAACCAGGACCTTCACGGTGCCCTTTGAAGGGGCTATATGCACCTTGCCATTATCTGTATATTCTTGTCAGCATTGAGCAGAAATCCTTTGCCCCGCCAATAGAGATTGATTCTCAAGAAGGCATAAGGAAGCCTTAGAGAGCATTAAAAGCTGCCTCAAATGGCATGGAAGAGATACTGGGTCAGCCAACAAGGCCAGTACCCGTGTAGTGTTCCACCTTGGCCATATTGGTCTTACTGGGTTCTGTCCTCCCATACCAGATGATCCAGAAGGTTGTGGTGCTACCTTCTATTGCAGAACTGAGTTGGAGGAAGGAACCCAAAACATTTATATAGTGGGTACCATCCACTGCCATCTCTCTGACAAAACTTGTAATCATAGATGTATTAAGTCCAGATTTGAATGCCCACCTGGACAATCTATGAATTGAAGAATTCTACTCTTGAAGGATATGGGGTTCTACACCAAGCCATCAGGCTAGTTTGTAATCCCACAATGCATTTCTTGTCGGACAATAGCCCTGCAATATGCTGCATAAACAAAGAAGTAGGCTTGTAACAGACTGAAGGCCATCAAACTTTGCACATGGTGCCCCCTAATACAGAAGAACACTGGTGGCTGTTCATCTCTCAGGTTTTGCATCAACCTGACAGACTTTCTAAGCAGACAGGCAGTAACTATAATGCCATATGCAGGAACTCTTGTCTAATGTAGTAATGAGATCAGGGTTACTACCAGATGCCTGCCTTCTGCAGTGTTTCCAAAGCCTCTTTTATGGCTTTCCATTTAATTCCTCTGGCACTAGAGGTGATATCCAAAATAAAAGGGGCAATGCCATGATTATTCTGGTTGCCGGAGTCAACATGGAGTTATCTTGGTTGACAGACCTAATACAAATGTCCATCAAGCCTCAGATCCAGCTGTCAGTCTGCCAAGACCTCATCTTACAACACCATGGCAAGATGCTTCTTCCAGACCTGAAGCCCCTGCATGTATTGTGTAGCTGTTGGCTAATTACCACAGATACAGAATGCTTTCTATACATACAGGATATCCTGATACATACCAGGAAAAACATCTATCAGAGTATATTCCTCTAATTGGAAGAGGGTCTCGTGAACATTAGTACTGAAGATTGTCTACTACTTGCTGCATTTAAAACAGGCTAGCGGTAATTTGTCTCTTAGAATCCATCTTGCATCCACCCATTCAGTGATGCTTGGTCTCTTCTCAGCCTACAATATCTTAGTTTCTCAAAGGTTGCTGCACACTTACCCACTGTTCAGAGAACAGAATTCTGCCTAAGACCTAAGTTTAGATTGCCTGAGTCTAATGGAGGGACTCATTCCTGCCTGTCTTCAGTGGCTGACACCACATCATTCTGAAGGGATTCTTCTTTCTGCTTCATCTAAGAGGTTCAGCTTCAGGCACTAAAGTCCGAATTACACCATACCACATTACATAAGCACAAAGGAGTGGTGATGCAACTCCACCTAAAATTCATTCCTATGAGTGTCTCAGAATTCTACCTAACCCAGCCAATCAAACTTCCTGTGTTTTCGAAGCCATGTTCAGCCCTGGATGTGTGCACGTCCAGAACTGGGTTTTATTACATTGACAGGACCAAACTGTTCACTGTTGCCTCATCTTTCTAGTTGTAGGTTGACCTTCAGAGTGCACACCTATCTCCTTCACAAAATATTGAAGTGGACAACACAGTGTATCTTTCTGTGTTACTTACTGGCTGATATATATCCACCATGTCCATGGCTAGATCCACCAGCAACATCCCCATCTGCTTTAGGAATTTCACTGCTAGAAATCTGTAAGGCAGCACTATGGAGTAACCCACTGTTCGTCAGTGCTTTGATTGTGACTTAACTATCAGATCAGGTGCCATGCTTGGGGAAGCAGTATTTCAATCACTATTTTACTTGTATAACTGCATCTTATTCCCACGATCCTGGAAGATAGTACTTGACTACCATCTACAGTGGGATCTACACCAACGTGAAGGAAGAATGATTACATATGCTATAATAACTGGTTCTTTGAGATCTTGTTGGTGTGGCTCCAAAATATCACTCTTGTTTCCCACATATGGGAGCATGAGGAGGCATAGAGTGCATGTGCTGCCCTGACTGACATTGCTAGTAAAAAGAATCACCTATATTATGGATGGTGTACAAGTACAACCACCATAGGATCCACAGGTACTTCTGGGTAAGTAACCTTTTTAAAAACAAACTTAAAACTGTGTGAAGGTAAAGATTTGCTATACTCCTCTAGGTCTCTTCCACGATGTTTCGATTTTGCTGAAAGTGGGTATACATTGCTATAGAAACAATCACATCCTAAGGTGTGAGAATTTCTACCTACTTGTAATTGTGAAGAATTTGATTGTTTGATATGAAAATGCTGTATAGTCAACTTTGAATGATAGTGATGTACTTAGTTGCCATTCTGCAAACTGAATGTGTGTTTTCCTCACTTTGCAGTCTAGTTCTTAATTTCTCAATCAATCATAAATGGCCATATACATACAAAAGAAGCTGAATTATAAATGCTTATTGGTAGCTAAATTGAAGTTTTATTTGCTGCTCCTGCCTTTGATGTGGTCTTTCGTTCAATCTAGGAATCAACAGAACAGCTCTGAGGGAGATAAAATTGTTACAGGAGCTTAGCCATCCAAATATCATTGGGGTAAGTATGAAATAAATGCTATTTGTGGTATCTGTAGATATAGTTTATCACAAATTTAGTGCTGTGATCATGGAAACTTTTATCCTAATTTATATACTGACTATCTTGCAAATTGGCAAACTGTGATAAAATACCTTTACTGTAAAGGCTGGTCTAAGTGTTGTGTGAGTTGGTTTTTTGTGTGGTTGGTTGGTGGTGTGATGGTTTTGGACAAGGGTTGGAAACTTTTTTGTTGGTTAAATTCATAGTCTCAAGTGATTTAAAATGTAATTTCTTTGATAAAGTTGTGACTCAGTGCAGTATGGCATTTCCCTGATTTTTGTTTTTCTAATGTTCTCTTGCCTTTGCTGCTATACTTGGCTTTCCTAAGTAACAGTAAAGCGAAACTGACAATTTAAAATCCAGTAGGCAGAAGTAATACTTGTAGTTCAGAGCATGCATTTTTTTTAGTTGTGTTGACTTTCAGCTTCAGATAAATCTTTGGTTGTAAAGGTAAGTATTACAAATGCAGAGGTCCGCAACCTTTCGGAAGTGGTGTTTCAAGATTTAACGTATTCACTTCTATTTGCAGTTCTGCATGCTCCTAGACCGAGTCCCTGTGGGTGCAAAGCCCCAAAGGGCCACAAACCCCCACTTGCGTCCTGCGTGTGCAGGGTCCTCAGCCCCAGCACTGCCTCCTCCCACCCGCCGCTGCCGGGGGCAGGACAGCCTAACCTGCTACCAGGGAAGTGGGAGGGTACCAGCCACTCATGCATCACAAGAGCCCATTCCGCCTGGGCCCTGCGCAGCCCACTCTGCAGCCTGCCCCACAGGTGCAACCAAGGCGGACATTTAGTGGTGGGCAGGACTCTTCCATGGAGTTAGGGATGTAGCTCTGTGGCTTGCGAGGCTGGTGTGAAGGGGTGAGTTTCCTTTCTGCATTTCTCTGCGTGTCCCCCGGGAGCTGGTGCTGCAGCCTCATACCTGAGCACCAGCTGTGAGGCTCCAGTGGCAGTGTGGGCTCCCTGTGTGCCACTTATGACTTGCGTACCATACATTGCCAACCCCTGTCCTAATGGGTGATTCTCTAAATGGTTGGTTCAGAGAGGCATACAAAAGTTTAGATTCTTTATTTAAATCTTTGGCCTAGAAATATCCTGTTCTTGCTGGATCTCAAGCCCATTCTCACAATATTTTCATACTTGAAGCTGAAATCAAGAGATGCTGAAACACACAAGTTTAAAAAGCAGTTGACTTCAACATTCAAAAAAGGGCTTAGTTCCTATGTTCTCCAAACAGTTTTGATTACTCTAGTAAAGATGCTATAAATGAGCTCATGTCCAAGAGTCTTTGGTAAATAATTTGCAGAACTTAGAAGTTAATTGTCCACTTCTGAATTGAAGCTCTAAATCAGAGGTGGGGAACCTCAGGCCTGGGGGCTGGATGCAGCCTGCAGCTCACCTGGATCTGGCCTCCAAGGCTCAGGCCCACCCCCCAGCTTTGGGGAGCCTGTGCTAGTGCTCCAAAATCTAGTGGGCTGCGTCCCCTTAGTCTCTGGTATGAGAGGGGAATGTGGGAGTGCTTTTCTCCTTCTCAGGTAGGGCCCATATCAGTGAGGGGTTGTTTGGTTTGAGGTTTGTGGGCCACATCAGGGGGGGGGGGGGGTGTGTGTGTGTGCGTGTGCGTGTGCGCGCTTCTCACTTGTGTGTGGCCTCCAACTGGGGGGTGTGTGTGTATGTGTGTACCCATCCGTCTCCCACCCTGTTCTAAATATTATATCCTGGCCAAAAGCAGTTTGTCAACAACATGCAAAGCTGAATCCACACAAGCAGAGACAACCTGTGCCTGCCAATGGGGGAGGGAGAGTGAGGACAGGTGATTTCAACAGTGTTGTTGAGCATGCTCAGTACAAGTCAAGCAGCAAATGGTGTGTGAGAAATCCTCATGCCTCCCTATGCCTCACCTGTGCACATAAGAATAGGTAAAGCATTTCTGGAAGAGCAGGAACAGGGAAGAGACTAGCAGAGCAGACAAGAGTATGATGGAGTTTGTGATACAACTCCCACTGTGAAGGAAATCCTTTTGTTATAGATGTGTTATTCTGGGTCGGTTTTAAAATAGTCTGTGCAACTGTTATGCCTTCCAATTCAGGTTCTGTTTTTTACAAACACAAATTCTATAATCTTCTTAACTTCCTTATGAAGTAGGTAAGAATGGTCATTTCTACTTTACAGATGGGGAAACTGAGACCTAGTTTGTAATTTTCTTATGGTCATATAATAAGAAAGAAGCAGAGCCAGGCTGAATGCCTGTTTGTTCCCTTCACCCGCCCCCCTGTACTGCCTTCTAATCATTACAAGTTCTCTTCCCAGTATGTGCAAGCCTGCTCCCCTATCCTAAAAACTTTTGCAGCACCTACAGAAGTGATATTGCATTAGTGACAAGTACCTTGTAGTCAGATGTGTTTTCCATGTTGTATATTTTATTTTTCCAGCTTCTTGATGCATTTGGACACAAATCCAATATTAGTTTGGTCTTTGATTTTATGGAAACAGATCTAGAGGTAAGATTGCTTTAGCTGTTGCCTTCTTTTGATTCAGTACTTGGAATGTTTTAATCAACATTATGTACAAAACCATTGAAATCTGTGATCCTTTGTTTCATATTAAAATCCAGATAGTAAGTATTTTCAGAATGCGTGTACTTGGAGATACATCAAGAAAGATTAGAGGTTTGCTTTTGTAAGAGATGAGATTGTATAACTTCGAACCAGTGGTCCCCCAACTCAGTGCTCGCAGGTGCCATGGTGCCCGCCGGGGCATTTATGTGTACCCGCCTAGTTGGAGTCACAACGCAGGATGGCTGGGGGAGGACGGGCCGCACGTGCTGCGAGACAAACTCATGCCGTGACGGGGCGTGGGGAAGCAATGGTGACGGGAGAACCTGGCGGGGAGTGCGGCAGGTCCGGAGCAGCGAAATGGCTGTGGTGGTGGATCTGGCGCAGGCGCACATGGCACGGGGCCGGCCGGCCGGCTGGGCAACACAGCGGGATGATGTCACCCATCGGTGCAACGCTCGCCACACAAACGTCAGGGACCACTGAGTCTTAGACAACTACCTGAACTCTCAAAGTTGTGTGCATTAATCTTTTTATAGTATATTAACATTGACACATTCTTAATCAGGATGTAATACTTTTAATATTACACTGTGGTGTCAATAGGTTTTTGTCAAGAATGTTTATTAATCTTATATTTGTGTAGTATTAACATTTTGAGACCCCATTCATAGACTAGGACCTCACTGTACTTGACAATGTACAACACAATGTTTTGTTAGTATTAATTAGGTGTGGAATCCTGTTAATTCACAAGTTAACAGAAGTGATTGTGTGTACTTTTCAAGAAAAAACACGAGAGTCACTGATAGGAGGTTGTGTGGTTTTTTTTTTTTTTTTTGCTGATATTTGATCCCTATTGGAGCATAAATGAGTAAATCTTTGCAGAGGATTTGATATTGCATAGATCAGGGGTAGGGAACCTTTTTTGGGTTGGAGGCTGTTGACCCACAGAATAATGAGTTGGGGGCTATATTCAAGTAAGAAGCTAGAGAGGGGGCTGGAGTGCCATCACAGGCTCCTCAGTGCTGAAGGAAGCCATGACCCTTGGGGACCAGATCCAGGCAAGCTGTGGGCCGCATCCAGCCCCAGGGCTTAAGGTTCCCCACCTTGGCATATTTTGATGCATTCATCAAAATAAAAACTACAGTAGACAAGTGTGCATGTAGGGTCAATGAAAATTATGCATAGGCAATGACTATCCATGCTTTAGGGGAGAAGTTCTGCCATTAAGTTAATCTGTCCATATATAATGCAATGAGCAACCAGAATAGCATATACAAACATTAAAAGAATAGTTGTCTGATTTGCTATATCTGCAGTATGTGTCATAAAGGAATAAATACTTTGTTTTGACCTGGAATTCCTCTAGTTTATATATTACTAAACAAAATGAAAGGTTTTTTTGTTAATATCAACTCTTGACTCTCTCCTTAATGAGTTACTCTAAATACTCATAAGAATTCAAGTTGAAACTTGTAAAATATCAGCTTAGTTTTCATTTATTAATTTTTATAATGTTACTTTTATCTATATAATTAAAAATTAAGTAAAATCTATTTTTATCATGTAGGATGCCATTGTGACAGGTTAAATCCCAGAAATCCCCTTGGGGTTGTCCCTCAGGGTGCTAATCATGCCACTGTTGTTTACCATCTTGTTCTCTGGGGCTCCCCACCATCCTGTTCTGCTGGGCTATAAACTCTATTTGCCTCCAGCAAAGGTACAGAATACCCCCTTCAGAGCATCATAGATGATGAACCACTTTGCTTCTTGGAGGGTTCAGCTATAAGGGCTTAGCACCAAGGAAATCCACTCTGAGAAGGGACCAAACCCCCAAATAAGTCAGTCTTACTCTGTGAAAAAGGTCAGGCCCACTCTCTGTCAATGAAAGAGAGTGGTGCACAGTGGTTGGTATAAAACTTATTTGAGTTAAGGACCTGAGCAATGCTGGGTAAATCTTCTAACTAAGTATAAAAAGTAGGATTTAAGTGGTTACAAGTGAAACAATCAGATCAAAGTAAGTTACTAAATTTAAAAGAACAAAAAAAACCAAACTAGCTAGTTCTAATCCACTAAGAAACGTTGCATGCAAATTCTTACCCTAAACAGTTTTCTTCACTTAGGTAAAAAGCTTCAAGTCAGAATTGGTCTTTACTCTGGCCTGGGTTTACAACTTCTTCAGAGTCCTTTGTATCTTCTTAGGGTGGGCCAGACCATTTCAAGTGCCAGCCGAAGACCAAGGACTGATTTCTTCCCATCCTATATAGAATTTCCCCAGGCTGGGAACCCTATATTCAGTGCCCCCCAATCCCATGGAATAATACCAGGTTCACGATGAATTCTAGTACCAGGTGGCATGTTCATGTGTCTTTTAGATCAACCACAGTTTGCACTTATAGGACAAACATCCCCATCCACAGGTTATTGTTTGGAGTACTGAGTTATTAGGTACCTGAAGTACTGTTAATGGGCCTCATTAACACGTTTAGAACTATAAACAGATCCACAATTCATGTGTCTAACTTCACATACAAGAATAATACATGCACTAAAATAGAATCTACACATTCAGTATATATATTGATATGTTATGAGATTCTCAACAGTCTGAATTATGCATATTCATATTCAGAAGCCAATTTTCATAAAGCATGAGGGGCCATGACAAATTAGGACAATGCAAAACACTTATTTGTATTTTTGCAAAATCCATAAGACCCAGATGGAATCAAAATCTGTTGATTAGCATTGTATGACCTATAGAAAACTTAAGGTAGTGTAGAAATATTTTAGATATTTACAAATTTTAACTTGAATTTATAAACTTATTGGGAGATGGGAGCTACTGTAGTAATGCAGAGCATCATTAGTAGAAAACAAGTGGAGGAAGCAGTGTGTTGAGCTAGAGATAATGTTAAAATAAGTGGAGCAAATTCATTAAAGATCTAGAGCAAAAAAAAGTCAGAACAATTTCCACTTGGATTCTGAAACAAGTGGATTTGTTAAAATGACAGTGAATACATTGTACCTCCATGTGTGCTCAGAGGACTGTTATGTTCTGCAAAGATTAGAGTGTTGGAGGCTATATTGAAGAAAGATGAAAATAGTTCAGGCAGAGCACACAAGTATAAATGAAGATTTCTGTGAAGATAGACTTGCCGTAATAGTATGTATGGTATATTTTGTAGTTAAGCATATTCCTCTTCCCAAGAGAGGCACTTATCTCTTGAGATAACTAGCTAGAAGAAGTTGAGACATCACATAGAGAAAACAAGGATCCAATTCTTGTGAAGAACAAGTCATGCCAAACTAATCTGATAGCTTTCTTTGATAAGATAACGAGCCTTGTGGATAAGGGAGAAGCGGTGGATGTCATATACCTAGACTTTAGTAAGGCATTTGATTCGGTCTCGCATGATATTCTTATTGATAAACTAGGCAAATATAACTTAGATAGGGCCACGATAAGGTGGGTGCATAATTGGCTGGATAACCGTAGTCAGAGAGTGGTTGTTAACGGTTCTAAATCCTGCTGGAAAGGATAACAAGTGGAGTTCCTCAAGGGTCTGTTTTGGGACCCATACTGTTCAATATCTTCATCAATGATGTAGATATTGGGATAGAGAGTACGCTTATTAAGTTTGCAGATGATACCAAACTGGGTGGGGTTGCGACTTCTTTGGAGGATAGGGACATAATTCAGAATGACCTTAGCAAGTTAGAGAAATGGTCGGAGGTAGACAGGATGAGGTTTAATAGAGAGAAATGCAAAGTGCTCCACTTAGGAAGGAACAATCAGTTCCATACATACAAGATGGGAAGCGACTGTCTAGGAAGGAGCATGGCAGAAAGGGATCTAGGGGTCATAGTGGACCACAAGTTGAATATGAGTCAACAGTGTGACGCTGTTGCAAAAAAAGCAAATATGATTCTAGGTTGTATTAATAGGTGTGTTGTAAGCAAAACTCGTGAAGTCATTCTGCCGCTCTACTCTGCACTAGTTAGGCCTCAGCTGGAGTACTGTGTCCAGTTCTGGGCGCCACATTTCAAGAAAGATGTGGAGAAATTGGAAAGGGTACAGAGAAGAGTGACAAGAATGATTAAAGGTCTAGAGAACATGACCTATGAAGCCAGGCTTCATGAACTGGGCTTGTTTAGTTTGGAAAAAAGAAGATTAAGGGGGGACATGATAGCGGCTTTCAAATATCTAAAAGGGGGTCACAAGGAGGAAGGAGAAAATTTGTTCCTCTTGGTTTCTGAAGACAGGACAAGGAGTAATGGGCTTAAAGTGCAGCAGGGGAGGTTTAGATTGGCCATTAGGAAAAAATTCCTAACTGTCAGGGTGGTCAAATATTGGAATAAATTGCCAAGGGAGGTGGTGGAATCTCCCTCTCTGGAGATATTTAAGAACAGGTTAGATAGACATCTGTCAGGGATGGTGTAGACGGAGCTTGATCCTGCCTTGAGGGCAGGGGGCTGGACTCGATGACCTCTCGCGGTCCCTTCCAGTCCTATGATTCTATGATTCTATAAACTTAACACAAATACAGTACGGGGAATATCTGTGGTGTCTTATTTCAATTTCCATTCTCCATTGTAGTAAGCTATGTTTTCTGGAGAAACTTTTAAGACTATCCACTACTTTTCACCTAACGCAGTGGCATAGAATATTACTGGCAAATGCACTATTTAACATTGTTTAAAGGAAAACAATAACATTAAGCAAAGAGAATTATAATAATTAAACTTTTTCCCAAAAATCTAACTAACATGCTGTTTCACAGGTTATAATAAAGGATAGTAGTCTTGTGCTGACACCGTCTCACATCAAAGCATATATGCTGATGACTCTTCAAGGGTTGGAATATTTACATCAGCACTGGATTCTACACAGAGTAAGTAAAAATATTCTAAAAAGAAACCAAGTCCTTTTCAGAAAAGGTTCCAAAGAAAACTTGACACCCTCAAACAAAATAGTGACAGTTTGGTGGAGCTTAGTGGGTCCAAAAGTAATCTCTCTAACATTCATGTAGCATAGTTTTATAAAAGCAGGTAGGTGGGGGAGAAAAAGGGCAGACTGAAAGGAGAAGGAAAACATTTTGGTGGCTTTTATAAAGAGAGAAACAATTCCAATACCTGCACCCCAATAGCAGAGCAACCCTACAATACCAATCCACTGTATAGGGAGGACAGCAAAGGTATGGTCACAATTAAATCAGCATTTTAAAAATGTTTAGAAAATTTGCAGCTTGAGTAGCAGCAGTTCTACAGGCAAAGATACTCATAGGCATAATGCAGAATTTATTCTGCAAAAGAGGCTTTCTATAAAGATAGAAGCTTATTTCTTAGAATAACTTTTTATTCTAGGAATACCAAGGGGGATTGTTCTTAGTTGCGCTTTTACTGATACAGTCAATTTGACTGTCTTTGTCCCTTTCTTGACAGGATCTCAAACCAAACAATTTGTTACTAGATGAAAATGGGGTTCTAAAACTGGCTGACTTTGGCTTGGCAAAATCTTTCGGAAGCCCAAATAGAGTCTATACACACCAGGTAGTAACAAGGTAAGAAATAAAGCGTCCTGCTTGTCTGTTGGATACATGAATATCTTGTAAAATCAGCTCTGTGCACAAGCTCAAGAGCCAATTGTATATGAATGTGGCAATGGAGACTTAAATAACTGGTATAAATGTTGACCTCAGTGATTTGCTATATGGTCTAATTGCTTTTTGAGATCTGCCAATAAAAAGGATTTTTTTCCTGTATTGGTCCCAGGATACTGGAGCCACAAAATGGGTGAGGTAATATCTTTGAATGGTTCAGATTCTTTGTAATAGAGGCAAGATTTCAAGCTCACACTGAGCTCTTCTTGAGGTTGAACACGTAATCTTGAAAGTTTGCTTTCCAGCAGAATTTGATCCAAAAAGATATTACCTCACCCAGTGTCTGAGTAAAAAGGATTGTGGAATACATGCCTATACAAGATCATCTGTGGGTGTGGCCTTTTCTGCAGAAACACAAAAGTATGTACACTAGCTTTGCAAGTTGAGTTGTAGTTAACTTCTGAAACAATAAGGTTTAGACTTTATTTATTTATTTATTTATTTATTTATTTATTTATATTTATATATATA